GTAGTTTCTAGACTGTCCTGGGGAATGATTGACTGCGTTCACATCGCAGCCGTGGCACACGCAAGATAATGAGATGTAGAGAAGTCGGGGGGGGGGGGACACAAACCATTTCCATGGGAGAAGCATGCTAGCTGGCCTGACGCCTTGTTAGCTGTCGAAGGCAGCTTTGTATGGAGATCTATGCATGTTTCCACAAGCAACTTTTGCAAAACTGGAGCTCTGTTGGATTGGGGTGGGGTGAGCTGTTTCTTCTGAGGCTGTAATCGCTGGAATGTTGCACACGATAACGCTGTGTTTAATTATTTATTTATGCCCTCGTTTTAAAGGCCAAGCTTCTTGCAACTCATCTAAAAGAGCACGCACACAATTACAATCGCTCACACGAGTCAATCTAAACGGACCATTCCATGAAATTTTAAATAATATTGTTTTATTGTTGAGTTATTCGGCCTGCATTCCTATACTCTACTACTACGGAACTGTGGGTCATGGGGCAGAGAGACATGAAAGTTGCCCTGCAGGGTATTTGAATCAGTATTAAGATGTGCTAGATCATGGGTAGGCAAACTAAGGTCCGGGGGCCGGATGCGGCCCAATCACCTTCTAAATCTGGCCCACAGACTGTCCGGGAATCAGCATGTTTTTACATGAGGAGAATGTGTGCTTTTATTTAAAATGCATCTCTGGGTTATTTGTGGGGCATAGGAATTGGTTCATTTTTTTCAAAATACAGTCCAGCCCTCCACATGGTCTGAGGGACAATGGACCGCCCCCTGCTAAAAAAGTTTGCTGACCCCTGTGCTAGATTCTATGTGGATGTGGCGTAAGAACACTTCCAGGACCTCATGCAAACTTGGTCCAACACTTAAAATGAAACTGAACTCTCTGTAAAGATATGTGGTGAGGGAAATAGATTTGTTGGAAAATCTGCCTCCACAGTCCAGAAATGAGCAAACCATTTTGATCTTGCAAGATGTGGAAGCTGTGACGGCACTTTGAGGGGTGGGCGTGGCTCATGATTACTGCTCAATATGTGGTTCTATCTTTGCCAAATCCATATGATAAAATATTGAATAAAAGAGGTTTTCATACTTACAATTATCAGAAGAAATTAATACTTTTAAACTCCTGTTGCAAACTTTTCTATTCCACCATTGAGCATTCCATCCACAATGAGTAATTGTTGTCTGTTTTTAACTTTCTTTAATGTTTTTAACTGCCTGTTGTACAGTTTTATGTTTTTATTGCTGTAAACGGCTTTGAATTTTTTAAAATGATAAAGCAGTAAAGAAATATAAATATATATATATTTGAATAAATAAAATAATAAATAAATATTAAAATATCAGTATGTCTGTGCCCATCACGGGACTTGTCTCTGCCCATCTCTGGATGGTTCATCACCCCCATTAGTGCCCTTCCATGTAAACCGTTCCATGCAAAGGAACTGGTTTCCCTTCCCATTTGATGTTATTATCCATCTCCCCCCAAAATCTTCCATAATCCTGAAACAAATGCCTTCTTTAGCGAGAATTATTATTTTTTGTAACTTCATTCTTCTGCCCGCCCCCCAAAGAAATGAGCAGATTCTTAGAGAATCGATGTGACTTCAAGAATCCAAATTAACAAACATATGTTTTGAGGTGCAGATGTGTTTGGGTAGATGCGGGGAAGAAAGTTGACCCAAGGTCAGATGTAGCCAACATTTGGGTGTTGGGATGGATAACAGAGCTCATCACAACCAAGTCAACCCTGCTGAATTGAATGGGGTTAAGATCCAGGTAACAACACAGTCCTAACAAAGTCTACTCAGGAGTACTGTTGAATTCAATACGGCTAACTCCTAGAAAATGGGGCTGAGATTGCAGCCTAAGTGGAGTTAGGATGGCAGCCTATGTGTGCATCTCTCTCTGTGTGTGTGTAAAATCTGTATTTTAAAGGATAAGAATTATGAATAGCTTCCTGGTGGAGAAAAAATTATCAGAGACAGGAACATTTTGTTCATACAAGGAAAGACACCCATCACAGAAAATGGAAATGGGAAAAGGAGAAATTGACAGAAAAGAATCCCAAATGGAATTCCATGGATGTATAATTCAAATATTGGGGGGAAACAAAAAGAACCACTGTTTGTTATTAATACGTGTCCAACAGCTAACAATGTAATAATAATAATAATAATAATAATAATAATAATAATTTATTTGTAACGCCCATCTGGTCGGGCCTCCCCAGCCACTCTGGGTGGCCTCCAACAAGGATTAAAAATACATCAAAATGTCACACACCAACACTTTGAATTGTGCTCAGAAATGTACTGGGAGCCAATGTAGGTCTTTCAAGACTGGTGTTACGTGGTCTCGGCAGCCGCCCCCAGTCACCAGTCTAGCTGTCGCATTCTGGATTAGTTGTAGTTTCTGGGTCACCTTCAAAGGTAGCCCCACTTGGCAGAATTTTGGTTACTCACGTTGATTGTTCTTCCTTCCCTTTCTGGGTAAAACCATATCTCGGATTGGAAGCTTCAACCATTGGTCACAACAGAGTTCTTCATCCACGCTGTCATATGAATAAACCTTTACAACATTTGAAGTGTGTGTGTGTGTGTGTGTGTATGGGGGATGTGAGGAAATGGGGCATGGTCAATGGTGTATTGATTATGCATGGTGAAGATAATGTAGATAGAGAGAAGATCTTGTCCCTTTCTCACCATACTAGAACCCATCATGAGGCTGAACAACCTAAAGGAAGCAGTTCCCCACTTAGTCCATCTCTGCTGTGAGTCCCACAAGAGCTGCTCCCTGCTCTGCTAGCTTCTTTCCACCAGGCCTGGGAGGCTTCTGACTGCCCCCAGCTATGAAAGCTGCTGCTATGTCTGCAGGTGCAGAGACCATCTTTGCTGCAAGTCCAACTGGACCCTCAACAGTTGAAGGAATTGGGTCTGTTTAGCCTGGAGAAGAGAAGACTTGAGAGGTGATATGATATCTGTCTCCCAATATCTGAAGGGCTGTCATGTGGACTATGGAACAAGCATGTTTTGGGCTGCTGCAGAGTGGAGGACCCAAACCAATGGATTCTGGTGACAATAAAGGAGATTCCTACTGAACATCAGGAAGAACATTCTGAGAGTAAGAGCCGCATGACAGTGGAACAGGCTAGATCAGAATGTGGTGAACTCTAATTCGTTGGAGGGTTTTCAGCAGAGGTTGGATGGCAATCTGTCAGAGATTCTCTAGCTGTGATTCCTGCAATGCAAGGGGTTGGACTAGAGGACCCTTGGGGTCTCATCCAGCTCTGCAGCTTTTGGATTCTATGAGCTGATGATCAGAATGCCTAGAAACTATTGGAGTAGAGGCTTGCTTAGAAGGGATTTTTTGGGGGGGCGGGTGTCAATATTTAACTTTGGAGATGCTTAATTTTTGGCCTTACTGGTATCTTTGTTGTTAGACTTTATTTCAAATTATGTGGGGATTTTTTTAAAAATTTATTGAATGCTTAGCAAGACATTTTAATTTATTGCTTATGATAAATTCTCTTACGTTTTTGTAATAATGGAAATATTTTCATGTTGTGAGGCACTTTGAGCATGGTTTAATGACCAATAATTGCAAGGGACTGGGCAAGGTAACCCTTGGTCTCCCTGCCAGCTCTACAGTTCCATGTTTCTATGATAGGCAGCATACAAAGAAACAATGGTGGGGGTCATAATTAAACTATGAAATTCACTGTTCTCTGTTGATGTGATTCAGGATGCCTATGTTCACTTCCAGTATTAACAATGGGGCAGTCTAGCTCAGCCTTTCTCAACCTGTGGTCCCCAGATGTTGTTGAACTACAACTCCCATCACCACTAGCTAGCAAGGCCAGAACTCAGGGATGATGGGAGTTGTAGTCCAACATCTGGGGGCCCACAGGTTGAGAACCACTGGTCTAGCTCAAAAGGTGGTGGACTCTTCTTCACTGGAGGTTTCTAAACATGTTTGATGGCCAGTCATTTCTGCATTTCAAGGGCTTGAACTAGATTACCCTTGAAATCCCTTCCCAAGTTCCTACAGTTCTATCGTTCTGTTATTCTTTCAGAGGCAGCACACCTCTGAACACCAGTTGCTGGGGATCCTAAGAGGAAGAATGCCATTGCACTCAAGTCCTGTTTGTGGGCTTACCATAGGGGCAGCAGGTTGCCACTGTGAGATCAGGATGCTGGGTGAGATGGCCCATTGACCTCATATAGCTCCAGGGCTTTTCTTATGTTTGTGCATGATTCCTAAGCTCCAGCACTGAAAACATGAAGGCTGTCAGTGCTGCTAGCCGTGATGGCTATGCTCTACCTCCACTGCCAGGGGCACTGATGTCTCTGAATACCAGTTGCTCAAGTCCAGGGTTGCCATATTCCAAACAGTGAAAATCTGGACAGAAAAGTTGTCAATAATAATAATAATAATAATAATAATAATAATAATATATTTATATCCCGCCCTACCCAGCCGAAGCCGGGCTCAGAGCGGCTAACAACAATAAAAGTAACACGGTTTACATAAAATCACAATCAATTAATTGAAATGCATTCTAAAATCAATTCATCCTAAAATCAATTCAAAATGAAATTAATGGCAACCATTGAGCTAGAGATCTGTGAGGATTGCCGAAGGAGGGTATGCCATACATCCAGATTTCCCCAGACATTTCCACTGATTTCTGCCCAGACACTGCTGCCGACTGCAGTATTCCGGATCTGTCCAGGAAATTCCAGATGTATTGCAACCCTATCAGAACTGCAGGAGAGGAGAGGGGCTGCTGTGCTTATACCCCATGTGTAGGCTTCCCACTGCGGCTTCTGTTTGGCTGTTGTAAGAACGGAATACTGGACTAGATGGGCTTTTGGGACACAGGGACATAGAAAGCTGCCTTCCAGAGTTAGACCATTGGTCCACTTTGCTCAGTATTGACTGGCAGAGGCTCTCCAGGATTTCAAACATGGAGTCTCTCCCAGCCCTACCTGGAGATGCCACCACTGGGGATTGAACCTGAGACCTTCTCCATGCAAGGGAGATGCTCTACCATTGAACAATGGCCCACCTCATAGCTTTGGTCTGAACCATCAGTGCTCTTATCGTGCCCTTATGTCATATTCACCCTAAACACTAGTTATCTCTCCCTCCTCCCCAGCCTGGCTCTCCCTTGCCCTGTCCTCACTATTTACATTCAGATCTCCTGATCTCTTCCCTTTTCCCTGTCTTGTTTGCTTAATGTAGATTTTATGCCCTCCAGGCAACACATCTGTGCTCCGTGTGGCACCTGGCGCATTGTTGGCACTAAATAATTGTTAAGTAGTAGGAGTAGCAGTGAATGGAGCACACTTTCAGATTAGATTTGCCAAGCTAAGCATCTCTATTTGTTTCAGCGAGAATAAACACAAGAGTTCAGGCTAATCTGCCTTTGATCCAAATTACCTGTTGTGAACCTTTATTTTTCATTACTTCACATGTGATTATGTACCTCTATTAAGTTTGAAGCAGAAAGAAATGAGCTCAGGTAAATTAGAGAATTCTCAGCCCAGCCAAGTTTCCTGATGGATTTTTCTGCTCCCTGACTGGATGCATCATTCAAAGTTGTCTGCCTTCCTAACAAAGGGGCACAAATCTATTTGTGCAGCAAAAAAATTATATGTTCAGAGGACTGCTTGCAAAAAATAGCAAACGGGGATCACTGCTAGAAAGGGATCAGACCTCCTCATGCTGATTTATTTCTAGCTCTAAACCTAAATTTGGGTGGGGTGTGTGCCATATTAATCTTGGGATGTGCAAGGGCACCGTGGAAGCTGGAAGCTGGGGCAGTTTTGCAATGTGCATTCAGCAGGGAAGAGGGAAGAAACTGAAACCTGCAGAACTCATACGCCTCTGAATTTTGCAATGTGTTTCTCTAGCCAAGTATCGTGTACAAAAAGGCATCAACTAAAATGTGCATATATTAGTGAAAATAGCATACAGAACTGCATTAGGTTAGGAAAAACTGTTCTGTGGTATTCTGTATATAAGGCAAAAATGGCATTAAAAATGTGCATATTAGGAGAAATTTGTGCTAAAATGCTGATGAATTTTCATGAGGATTTTAACCAAAAACAAAAAGCACAATTCACTAACTAATGTGGAAATGTGGACAATTGAACTTAGGACTGGAAAAATGAGAACCTGAGAAAAATTTTAAATGACAGAGTCACCTTCCCTAGCTATGCGTCCCAGTTGCATGGAATGGTGCCTCCATGTATAGACACATTGCAGATGATAGATTTAAAATTCAGTGATGGACTAGGTACATTCATTCTAGTTGTGGGGACCAAGCCCTGTTGTGTGAACTGGTCTAACATGAACTTAGAACCACCCATGTCTGTGACTTCTGAATCATCTTGTGCTGGCCAGGTGCCCATTTTCATTACTATATGCCATGATACCATCTCTTAAAGCAAACATTTCTAAATGAATTGAGGGCTCCATGAACCCAGCATTGGCTAGTGAAATCCTGCTAGATCACTTGTCCTACTGCAAATGAAAGGGGGTGACATATCAGTGATGCCTACTGCAGAAACTTATCTCAGAATGTCAAAGGGGTGGGAAGTGAATTGGGTGGTGCATCTGAGCAAAAATATTGGATATTTATAATTTTGGTGTATGCTAACGATGTAATGCTTTTAAGCTTTCTTCCTTTTAGGTATATGCAATTGATGTCTGCTCAAATAACAACAACCAGAAGCATTAGGATTATGAAAAAGCCAAATGGGTTTCAGTGTTCTTTTCCATTGCTTTTTGGTATTATTATTATTATTATTGGCTGATTTTTCTTGCCAGTGTGTCAAGCAGATTTAAATGTATTTTGATTTTTTTTAAAGTGCACACACACACACACACACACACACACACACTTCTTAGTTGACTTCCACCGCAGGAACTTAGAGCCATATTATTTTGTTGATATGTCAGGATTTCAAATCTCTCATCTGTGCTTTCCATGCACTAGCAAGATGTTTCCACTTTAATTGGAAACATTACCTTTTTTGCCTTCTCTATAAAGTGGGATGATCAGATTTCCCTGTCCCATTCCTTTACTTTGATGCCCTGCATGCCCATTGAGAACAAGTAAGGATGCAGGATTCCACATCTTCTTGATTGCTTCAGGAAACTTCCACTCCCCCAGTGCATGGATGGCTCGAATTCCCGCAGGTTTTATGTCAATATTAATACAGAATAGCTAGGTGCATGAGCCTCATTCCTCAACATAACCTGGCAGATTTATCTCTAAGAACTTCACAATTGCTGTAGGTATTTTTGCTTCCTTAAATTATATAGATAATTGAATTTGAATTTGAACCCACTCGTTGGGCCCTTGGTGTTGGGCCAGAGTCAACCTTCAAGGGTTGAAACATAGGATAATATTCCTAGAAGCTGAAAATTTGATCTGCTGCTGGGTGTGCATGTGCCGCATTTATCATTTGGTGGAAGGGATGGTAGAATAAGGTGTGGCAGTTAGCAGAAAAAAATATGGAGTGGAGTGGAGAACTTAGAGGGGTTAAATATATAACATTTTTCACAGTTATTTCATTTCCGTTTGTTGAATTTGCTCCCCCGGATATCCATCCTCCACTATGAACTGGTATTATACCTAAACATTTTTGGTATTTAGCTTAAAATCTATAAATGATCTTTGTGGTCCTTTCATATTGCTGCTCCTACATCTTTTCCATGATTGTTTAGGTTTTTCTCTTCTTTCTGTGCGTTTACAAGCAGCACGGGGACCAAGTTTATAGTTAAGTTTGTTATATATATCTCATTTGTTATTAGTCCTTTTTGCTTATCTGAAAAGATTAAATATTATAAAATAATTTTATCCAACACACAAGATTTTCAACCTGGCCCCTATCTTTTCCATCCCCTCCGCTTTTCCCTGTAGAGGATGTTTCCTCTATTGTGACATTATTGAGGATACAGCAACCTTTGTATCCTGAAATTTTATCTCTCCTTTTTGGAATTCTGTGCTGACTCCAAGGCCAGATTCAGGCTCCTGTGTGCTATTCGTTAAACCAACTCTCAAACCCTGGGCTCCATTGTTGGCCGGTGTCACAAACAAATGCAGCGCTTAGTCACCGCCCACCATTGACAAAGATAATCTGATGGTCACATCTGCATGTCAGCCCCATAAAGAGAAACCCCCGAGTCTGTCAAGAGTGTGAAGCAGAAGCATTAGCGATTTCAATTCTGCTTTATTTCCCACTTGAAATGGAGGAAAACAGACAAAAAACAAATAAGAAAGCTAAACAGTTGCGTGAGAGCTAGCAATTTGCCGGGGAGCTGGTGACAGACACTGTATTATCATAATTGTCTCCTCTACATGATAGGACAGAAAAATAATAATGTCATTTTATTTATAGCCGGGGTGCCCCCTTTATGAGAGTCATACAAGTTTCTGCCAACTGGAGTAGGTCAAATGACATCTTTTGATCAGGCCTGTCCAAAGAGATCAAAGATGAATGGCAGGTAATGGATATCCCATGACAAACCAAATCTAAAACAGAAATAAGGCTGCCAGTGCCTGCCAGTTACCCATTAAAGGCTCACCTAACTAAGGCAGGCTGTTTGACATGTTAGCCGACCACCTAAATCAGCCAAGCGTAGGTGCTAAAATTGTGTATTATCATTGGAAATGGCTATTATTTCCTTGGTAACATTTCTGTTAAGGCTTTGTTTGTCTGACCAGCTATATCAGGAAGTAACGTCCCGCAGGTTTTGCTAAGCCTTCAGGTTCTCGGGAGATCAGCTCTGATCAGATCACGGGAACATTATCTTTTCTTTTCTTTTTTAATTGTCACATCTAATAGAAACACCTTTCTCCTCCAATCTCAGAAATAGGTTCTTTTCCTTTCTCCGAGGTGACAATTTTTGTCCAAATTCGTAATGGCTACATCGGAACATAGGAAGCTGCCTTCTACCAAGTCATTGGGTCTATCCAGCTCAATATTGTCCAAACTGATGAGAAGGATTTCAGACCTACCTGCAGATGCTGAGGATTGAACCTGGGACATTCAGTGTGTAAAGCACATGCTCTAACCATTGAACTATAGCTCCATCCCAGCTCCAATCTGTTCCATTTAGAGAGAGGAAACTAGAATTTCTAGGCACCAGTCTTTATTTAAAAGAATATATCTCGGGGGAAAAGTAGGCATTAGCACCAGGTTGAATCCTGTCCATAAGAAATATAATTATATTTCTTTGACAGGGATAGTGATCCAAGAGATAATTAAATTGCTTAGAGAGTCTTTCTTTTTCACTCAAATGTAAACAACCAAATAAATTGATGAAATAATTTTGAGTGAGTCAAGTAGATTTTCCCTGGGTGTGAACCAATCAGAGTTCATCACTTAAGTTCTGTTTATTTACCCTTTAATTCACTAGACCTTCATATCTGGAACTTTGCCTTTCATTTGCTCCTAAGTTATAATCAGATATGTCTAAGAAGATTTGGAATTTTCAACCAGAAAATCCAAACGTATTATGTAGAAAGGTCAATGGGTTGTACTCAACTATGTCAGATTCAGAGTAGACCAATTGAAATCGAGTAGCCTTGACTAAAGTCCACTGCTTTCAACAGGTTTACTCTGAGGGTGACTTAATTGGATGCAACCCAATCTGTCTAACTTCATTCTATGTTTACGTCGCCATGAAGTTCACCATATTTTGTAGACTAGAAGAGGAAACAGGAAATGAGAAGTGGGATGAAAGCAGGTAGGCTAGATGGGGCCTATAACCCCTACTGCTAGAAGGCCCACAAACCATCTGGTTTCTCCCCTTAAATGAATTTCTTCTGCACAATCAAGAAAGCTAGAAGCTTGATTTTAGAATAAATAAAACGATTATAGGCAACAGGATTAAAAGCCACAGAAGTCAGTGCAAAAAAACAACAACAACTCTTTTGGGCATACAACTGGAGCCATATAAAATTCTAAACCTTTTGTTATGATTTCTGACTTGTTTGATATAAATATTGCAGTAAACATTTTAATAGTTCCTCTAACCACAGCTCACGACA